AGTTATAAAAAACAAATATAAATACGTACGTAATTAGTAATTACAATAAGTTTAGATATACCTACTTATTATAAAATTGTTAACATCAACGCAATTCGCAATAAATAGTTACGATCAGCGAAAAAAATGTCTGTAACATATGATTTATATTTAATAATAACAATGATATAAAACCGTAGGTATCGTTTCGATGTTATCAGTATTTGTTTCTTTCAAACAAGTATAAAACATTAAGATCTCGTGTTTTGCGCATTCACGTGTATAGCATACTCGTACATACATATTATTATCATTGAGTAATATATAGTATATACGTATACTCAATGATATTATGATTTAAAGTAGGTATAAATCACAAATCACAATCCGCCGCAATTTACTAGACGTTCAGACCGGCTTTATATGCTGAGCACAGTGAGCTTACATCTCTAAATATATCTATTTGATATAACTCGCAGTTAGAACCATAACTACGTATTTTTATAATCTGGTATCCGTTGATATTCTTCTCATCCTCGTAGATATATAATATTTTTTATACCATAAATATAATATAGTATCCGCGCCTATTAATTAAATGATTAATTATTTACTAATTTTCTGGTAGGCAGTTTAATATATATTCTTGTCTAACTTATCTTTACCTGTACGAGTTAACGACATGTCTGAAGCGGAACGGGAATTTCACTGTTTGGTGGCGTTCATCGCGGATACCGTAATCCGGTGGACGTGCCGCCGCGGTGGCGTCCGGGTGGACACTTTGCATAGGGCGCTGTTTGAGCGGCATGAACCGGAACACTTCCGCCGAAAACGCAATGCCAACACACTGGTTCAGGCCGTCGAATATCTGCTGTACACGAACAGAGTGAATTTATGTTGTGGCGATTGGCGATGGTGGAGACCCGCGTACAATATGGTCATTGGTCAGTTCGTAATGTGAGTGATGAATAATTTGTCATTGGTGATGAACACGAATAAAAAATATTATATATTTAGATAATATAACGTTGCACGTGGATAAATAATAACTGCAACTGTGCGTATTTTATGATGTGTATTTACCTACGTGAACATTATTTCGGAAAATTCATAATTATTCTGTGTACCCTACTCAAATTTACATATAAATATTATAAATATATGATTATAGCATGTACATATACAGTGGAAGCCGCTAATTATGAACACTTTGGGACCAATGTGAAATTTATCAATTAACCGATTGTTTCTAATAAGTGATTGGTTTGATTTGTACCTACTATGAAAAAAAAAAAAAAAATGAAAAATATGTATTTAATACATAGGTAAGTATTTATATTTTAATTTTAATGGTTGGTGGGCACATTAAATTAGAACTGTAATGGCTGTATTGTTAGTTTTTTACATACAAGACAAGTATATACAAAATTAAACTAAATAAAATGATTAAAATATTTAAAGAAAAAAATTAAATATGTTAGTGTAATAGGGGAAGTATTTTAGTCCTTGCTCTATTTATTAGTAATTTATGAACTTATAAACAAATACTAAATAATTTATAGATCAAATTATCATAAAAAATAATGTGCAACTCTTTTTTATTTTTTTTTTTATTATACGAGGACAGAAATGTACATTCCTATTCTTCTTTCTTATTCACTATTAAGTCAACTAACCATTTATAAATAAATTACAAAAAAAAAAAAAATTATAATCATAAAACATAAAATTAATGTTAACTGTTGGATTCTTTCATACTGTTTTTTAATTTGTTTACTACGCACTATTGTATAGATTAGTAAGAACAATTCTAGTTTAGCAACCTATTAATTTTTTTTCAAAATGTGTGTTTTTGCGTGTTTTATAAGAATTAAAAAAAAAAGAGTCGAAAAAATCTCGTTTTGAAGTTATAGGTGAAAAAGTTCAAAAAGTACAGTTTTTCCGTAATCCGTATTAAAATAATAATAATAATAATAATAATAATACTTAGAATTGAATATTTTCCAGTTTTTTTTTTTTTTTTAGAATGTGTAGTTTTTAACGCTTAATAAATTGGTAATATCAAATCATTCAAATTTAACCTATCATACTTAATTTTGAAGTTTTTGCACGTAAATCTTGAAAAATAACCTTTTTTAAATTTAATTTAAAAATTTCTTTAAAAAAATATATAAAAATTTATATTTTTAATAATTGTATTCCAACTGTGTACAGTTATAGATAAAATAGTTTTTGGTGAAGTCACAATTAGTCTATTAGACTTAGTTTCAGAGTTAGAGATTTTAAAAGGTAATTAAATTATGACGTATCTATCGCAAAAATAATAATACAGATAAATAGGTAAATACTAAATAGGTTTCTAAACTAGAATTATGTTGATTATAATGTAATATTGAATCATTGGACACACACAATAAAAAATGAAAGATTCTCAGAGGTGGATTTCCCGTTAGGCACTGTAGGCAGCTGCCTAGGGCGGCAAATTTTGCAGTGTTTTATTAAAAAACATTAAACTTATAAAAAAAATTAATTATATTTACGAAAAATAATTAATAATATGTGTATTTATTTTATATTTTATATTTTTCTACTTTATCGTATATGGTATACGGTTGTGGTAACTTGTTCAGTTGTTCACCTATTATGGGGGCAGCAAATTGTTGGTTGGTACCTAAAGCCGTAAAAAAGATAAATCCGCCTCTGGATGGTTTGCCTATATTACAAAGTATATTTTATAACTTACACTTTATCGTGTTACTTTATCATACTATAATGTAAATGTACTTACCTACCTGGCTACCTATGACATAGATACATAAACTTTTATGATTTACGTATTACAGGTTTATACCTAGCATGATAAAATAATATATATTATATTAAGAAAAAGTATGGCGATACGTTTTTTAGACTTTTGCCCTTTGACCATATTATTGATAGGTACTGGTTACTTTTTATTAGATTATAATTTTATTATATAATTTTATAAGGAATATAATTAATATACTAATCATAGTCCATTTTTCATATTCTACAGGTGGTATTCTTCTATCAAATTAATTTATAGGTTTGGAGGTCCATTATAATAATTCACGATTATACAATTATTGTACCGTCTATGCCTGATAAAATGTGTGATATGCCGTTTATGAATCGTGTACCTATTCTCAATATTCGCATACTATATTTTGTTTTACTTAATATCAGCTGGTTAGGTAATGTTTTAAGTGTTAATTACTTTAACGTGTTTTTTTTGATTTACATTAAATAAAAAATAAAATTTTTTTTCTAGAATATGGATTCAATGATATTAAATAAAAAAATGTACCTCCTGGATGGCAGTTGTATTAGTGGTATTACACCTTATGTAGACATCAACAGTGTTATGAAACATCCACTTTGGGGATCACATTTGCTTTTAAACAATGAAGATATTGTTATTTGTGGCCATAAAGATTACATTAGGGGTAGGAAAATATTAAAAATATCAGAAAAGGATGGTTATTGTATTTTAATAATTATCTTGTGTATTTATTTATTATACTTTAGCTGGAGCTGATTTTTTGACCACTATCACATACCAAGCAAGCATTGAAGGTTTTCAAAAATATTTGAACCTAGATTATGATCAGAGTTTTGAATTAATCAAGAAATCTGTTATGATTTGTCGACGGGCAATAATAGAGGAAAATGAAGGTTTATCACTTTTAATATTACATTATTAGCTACCTATAGAAGTAATTTATTCTATACTACTTATGGAAGTAGTATTAATGAAATCAAATCACAAAAATATTTTATGATTTTTTAAGATAAAGTAATTTACAGAACGAAATATACAAATAATGGGATCTGTTGGTCCGTATGGTGCATCATTATGCGATTGTTCAGAATATAATGGTAATTATATAGACACTATGAATTTAAAAAAATTATATGATTGGCATAAACCTCGAATTCAAGCATTAGTGGAAGCTGGAGTTGATATAATTCTTTTTGAAACCATACCTTCTGTCACTGAAGCTACTATTTTGCTAAACATACTGGCTGAATTTCCAAATCAAAAAGCATGTTTATCATTTTCGTGTAAGGTGATTTTCTTTTTACCATCATATTAATAATTGTTATATGTTAATTTGAGAGGTGTTCATCAAACCAGGAGGTTAGTAAAGTGTACTGCTGCTTGCCCTGTACCAATCTGAAAAAAATATTATTAAATTTAAATGTATAATTAAACATTTAGTAATTTCTGTAACTATATGTTGTGGTACTAATGTACTTGTGAAATTTTTCTCAAAATTATAACTTGCCAAAATGTACAATGACTCAAAAAAAACTTATTAATGGTTTATAGTAAATCAATAATTAACTGTAAAAATAGATGATTTTATGACAAAAGTAGGCCATAGGAAAATAATGACACTAGATACAATATTAGTCATATTCTTTGATAAGTGTATTATGTTATGTTGAACTGATCACTGATGTAATTTAAATTAAGTACTTCATAAACACAAATTAAGTGAAAAATATTGGCTAAATGTTCATATATAATATTAAATCTGTATAGAAAAAAAAAAATATAATTAAAAATAATTTTATTTAACAGATAACATTATTATTAGCTATTATGTAGACGTAAAGTTAAAATATAAATATTACATATTAGGTATATTACAAAATAAATGAATTGATAATTTTGTTTAAGATGAATAATTTAGAAAACGTTACTCTTACTAGTCTTACTAGTATGTTAGGGGAATTCATTTTCCAAAAGAGTAGTATTTGCTAGATTTACCTATAATTAATTTAGTAGAAAAGTAAGTGAAAACTAAAAAGTTATATCATAAATCATATAAAAGTAAATAATAACATAAGTATATAGCTATTCTGATATATTATGATCAGTCAAGTACCACTAAAGATTAAAAGACTAAAATTATTAATTGTCAAAATGTCAATATATAACAATAATAATGTAGGTATACAAATAATAATCTATGTACGTTTAACAATATATTTAGTACCTATTTACAGAAAACAAAATAATATTAGATCTGTTATTAACATTAATTACTACTACAGTCTTCTGTATATCACAAATTGAAAACCATTGGTCTAGATTGATATTTATAATACCTTTTATAGGACGGAAATTATTTGAGTCATGGTGAAGAATTTTCAAGTGCTGTTGAAATGTTCTGGTCGAATAATTACCGTAAACAATTAATTGCCATTGGTATGAACTGTTTACACCCAAAATTTATAACACCACTTTTGATGTCGGTAAAGACTAAAAATGTGAATTTTATTACTTACCCAAACGGAGGTGGCATCTGGGATGTTGCTAAAAATTGGTAATTTGATATTTAAGCAAGGTATTGGTATGTATAAAATGTTTTTTTTCTAATAAGTTTAATATTTTCAGTTATGATGATACACAAATATATAAAGTTTCTATCGATGATCTTAAGATATGGAATCAAATAGGATTGAAAATATTTGGAGGCTGTTGTAAAACTGATGCTATTGAAATAGCACGCCTGAGAAGTTTAATAGATGATCTACTTTTATAATACAATTTTAATAAATTTATTATTTGTGTGATTTATATTTTATACAATTTTATTAATTATAAGTTTTAGTGTTAAATATAATTCTAGACTTTTACATTCTGTTGCTTTTCCAATTAACATTACACTTAGTATCCAAATTATCAGTCATATCAACATGTTAATTAAATCAATATTATATAATCTATAAGATATAATTTGTATAAGGTACAACTGTACTGTTATTAACTTAAATATTTTACATGCTAAAAATGAGCATACATTTTTTTTTATAATGTGTAAATTAATATTTAGAACTCTATTAAACACTTCATGTGTATAATTTTATGTAATTACATTTTTAAACAAACAACATTTTGCTATTGAAACTTGAAATGCACATGTTTCTAAACATTGGTAAAAACTATTTTTTGAGGCCAGTACTTCTATCAGTCTGTAGGTGAATTTGTAGTGGTCAGATATTTTATAATATAGATTAGTGAGTTAAATTCAACTTACCGCACAATCTATAAAAGAATAAGTTATAGTGAACTTCTGACCATAGTTTATGATACAACAATATTCATTTCAAATTTTAGCATTTATAAAAGTAAGTTAGTGCTGTATTTAGTATATATTATTACGTTTAACTTATTTAGTCTAAATTCAGTACATTCTAAAACTTTTTGTTATATGGTAATATATGTTGGTATTTAGGGTTTTGTTTAATTTATGTTATCTGAATGATAGAATGATTTAATGAAATGAATCATGAAAAATTAACAAAGTATTGTATTATTGTATTATTGTATTATAAGTATTATTGCTCTTCTAATTACTATAACATGGGTGGTAAACATAAAATATTATAAATATTATAGAACATTTCTGAGTCTTCCTTAAAAAAAAATGTACTACATACCACTACTTCTAAAAAATGTTTTGTTTTATCTAATTGGAGCACATATTTTATTTTCATTTTTATCGGACAAATTATGAACAATCAAACAATTAATGTTAATGGATTTTTTTTAATTTTAGTGATTAAATATATTGTAAATATATTTTTTTATTTTTAATAATAATCATGAGTAATTCGTTGGTACTTAAATACATTAGTAGGTGCGTAATTAAGTAAATTAAGTATATTAATTTAAAACCTGTTAGTTTATTATTATTATCCACTATGAAAGATAACATGATATTTTTACTTTTTTAGTAGTTTTAATACATTATTAACATAGAGGAACGTGATGTACAACAATTTCAAGTTTACTGTTCCTAAATCTAAAAGACGGCAAAAGCAAAAATTGCATGAAATATTCATAGCCTGATATGAAGAAGGGACTTTTAAAAATATTTTATCAATAAGGAAACTATTAAATCAAATTACATGACTATTTTAGCCCATTCAAAATTAGAACATTTCCAACTAATTTCACCAAAGCCATAGTTGTTATTGTGAAGGGCATGATATGAAAATACTAGATACAATAATTTTTGAAAACATCAAAATTAATAATTATTTAATTCATCATTAACAGAAAAAGGTTGACAAGTGCAGGTTACCATTCTGTTGTAAATTGGGTGTGGAATGGATCATTATTGTGGGTATATTAAATTTGCAATCATAATAATATTGTTAGTACCAACCTATCTAATTACTAGAATAATATATTTTATCAACTCAAAATGTAAAACAATCTTTTTGTAAATACCAAAATACAGTAAAAATAAATTAATAGTTTAAATAAATACTATTTTAAAAAAAATCAACAATGCCATTACATATAGTAAAATTCACAATGATATAACATACCTAAAAGTTTTAAGTTCCCGAAAAAATTTTTATTTAAAAATGTAACTAACAACATTATTTATTGTTTAAATAAAGTAATTTCTCCCAAAATTGAACTTTAAAGTTAAAATGTCTATGAAAAAATAAATGTCTTTAAATATTTTTCTATGGTTTCAATATAACTTATGAGGAATCTTGTATTAAATTTTCAAAACTTAGATAAAAAAGTATAAGTTTTTATGAATTTTTAATCAGTTTGAAAATATTTGTCAACATTTTAACTTAAAATATATAAAAAAAAAATTGGGCTGACATATTTTTTATTTAATTATAAAATATTATTATGTAAGATATTATATTAGTAAATAGTAGATGTTAAAAAAGATTAAAATATTATCAACGAGTTGTTTGTTTGTTGGCAGTTGCTCAACTGCCAACAAAAAAACAAGTACCTATTAGAATTAATTATATTAATTATAGTGTTGTTTTTGTTATATAATTGGTATCAAAGATTATTCATGAAAAAGATTATAATTAAATTGAAATAAAATATTTTTAAATCTAAGATCACGGCATACCTATTAACATAAAAAGGCATCTACCTAATATATACTACTCATACTCTTTTATAATTTATAGTATTTGATAGCTGTTAAATGTTTTGTTTTTAAGAAAAATAACCATATAAATATAAGTGACCTGTATGACTATGGCTTATTTATACTTATTTTAATTACCTACCAATAATACCTATTTAATTATAAATTTTTTTCATTTTGAAGAAATCAATTGATATCAACTTATTAGTTGAACTAAATAATACCCAATCAGTAAGTATACTAATACTTTAACATTTGGTTGAAATTAGTTGAGTATTACTTTTATTAGATTTATAATTCTTCATCAATCATATACAATGGATTATCAATTTCCAAAGGATTTTATGTTTGGCGTTTCAACTGCCGCATATCAAATAGAAGGAGGCTGGAATGAAGATGGTATATAAACTATAATTAAATAAACACAACATAAGTATACATATATATATTATATTCATTTATCTTATTAACTATTTAAAGAAATTAGAAACAAATTATTCATTAATCTAATAATATTATAAAATAACTGTTACAATTTATATATCATGTAAAATTATGTATCAATGTACACCTTGAGTAATTATGTATTTCAGTAATAAAAAATTGTTATTGTTTAAATTCTTTAGGAAAAGGAGAAAATATTTGGGATCATTTAGTTCATAATAATCCAAAATTAATAATGGATGGAACTAATGGTGATATTGCCTGTGATTCTTACCACAAGTATAAAGAAGATGTAGAACTTATAAAAAATTTAAATGTAACTTTTTTTTTACTTGATTTACAAAAAAATCATATTATATAATACATATTTTTTCAATATTTAGTTGAAATTTTATCGTTTTTCTATATCATGGGCTCGAATATCACCAACCGGAGAAATGAATAAATTAAATGAAAAAGGAATAGCATATTATAATCGTCTTATTGATGAACTTATTAAAAACGATATTGTTCCATTGGTAAGCTGTTATTATTATTAAAAATAAGGAGTACAGTAAGGGCTAAGGTACCTAATTACAATTATCTTTAGGTTACAATGTATCATTGGGATCTACCACAATACCTACAGGATCTTGGAGGTTGGGTTAATCCAATTATGTCAAATTATTTTAAAGAATATGCACGAGTGTTATTTACTTACTACGGAGACAGAGTAAATTAAATAATTTGTAAAGAATATGAACTATCTTTACATTCTATACTTATTATAGGTAAAATGGTGGATAACGATCAATGAACCAATGGAAGTTTGTAAAGGTTATGCCACTAAAGCATATGCCCCATATTTAAACTTAAATAACACTGGATACTATTTGGCAGCTCATACACAACTTATTGCACATGGAAAAGTCTATAGGTTGTATGAAGAGATTTTTAAACCTACTCAAAAAGGTATTTATCAAATGGAAATTGAGTTTGTATTATTGAAATCTTAAATCCCAATTTGTTTATAGGAAAAATAAGTATTTCAATAAATGGAGTATTTTACTTTCCAAAAAATGCTGAGTCAATTGATGATATAAATACTGCTGAAAGAGCCAATCAATTTGAGGTAACAAGAATATTTTGCTCATTTCATTATTTTAATTTTCAAGATATATTAGGTAACTAATTATAAGTATATTGTTACATGTCCTTAGAGAGGGCTGTTCAGTCATCCAATTTATAAAGGAGACTATCCACCAATAATGAGAAAATGGATTGACAAAAAAAGTAAAGAAGAAGGTAGACTATGGTCTAAATTACCAATTTTTACAGAAGATGAAATTAAATTAATTAAAGGTGCATGTTTAATAGATAACATTTATAGATTATTTATCAAGTTCCTGTCACATAGTTAAAATTTAAAAAAATGCTATTTGTTTTTTAGGTACTGCTGATTTTTATGCTATCAATCAATATTCTTCTCGTTTAGTAACCCATGGAATTGATTCAGTTAATAATAATAATTCAGACGCAGAGTTTATAACTTCTGTAGATAAATCATGGTTGGAATCATCTCATGCATCATGGCTCATAGTAATAATTAAATCAAAATTTGAGTTGTGTATATTACTAAATCAATAATATTTCAGCCAGTACCCGATGGATTCAGACAAAATTTGGTATGGATAAAAAATGAATATGGAAATCCTCCTTTGATTGTAACAGAAAATGGATTTGGAGAAAATGGTCAATTAGATGATTTAGATAGAATTAACTACTTAACGGTAATGATTTACTTTGATAATATCTAATTATATGTTTCAATTTTTTTTTTTTTTTTTTTTTTAATAGAACTATTTAAATGCAATGTTACAAGCAATACATAAAGATAATTGCAATGTTATAGGGTTTTCTGTATGGTCATTGTTAGATAATTTTGAATGGATGTATGGTTTTGCGTAAGTTGTTTTATATTGGTCAATTAAAAATATTTCTTTAGATCTGTAACAAATGTGAAGGATTAAATATTTAAATTCAAATATAGAATATATTATAGTATTTAATGCTAAAATATATTAAAATACTATTTTTCAAAGTTGGATATATTATTTTGTTTTTTTAGAATTCATTTTGGACTTGTTAAGGTAGATTTTAATGATCCTCAAAGAACTCGTACACCAAAAGCATCATATGAGTTTTACAAGAATTTGATATCAACTGGCCGATTGACGTC